CAACAATAAATTACGATAATTAGAGATGAAAAAAAGTTATTATATGATATTTACATATTGTTGAAAATGTGTGGTAATAATTTTATAGAACATTGTAATCGCTAATACAATCAATCTAAAAATAAAATTAAATTTAAAGTATAAATTATTTTATATTATTGTATATTAAATCAACAGAAGGAATGATACCTTTTTGAGTAGTACTCTTTTATTGCTTTTATAAAATTACTTTTATTTTTATTTATTACAGAGCATAAAATCTTAATTAATTTAAAATTATTACTTGCTGACTAGCGTCACTAAGTCTTAATTGTTCTCAGTTCTCAGTGATACACCGTCGTTAATCACGGATTACGAAGTGAAGTTTCTCGTAGCCAGAAAATATCTCGGCAAATAAATTCGGCGGCACCCTCGGCGCACATTGCGATCTGAAAAGTTACTGTGGATGTGTTATAACCTTGCGCGCCGTAATAGAACTTAAGGTGGATAGGAAAGTTTCTTTCTTTATTTTATCTTTTGTCAGAATTCTAGACTTGAAGAGTCTTCGACTCGGAACTCGGGAGTCGTTCGAAAATCACTTCAGAACCTTCGACCGCGTCCCTAAACTTACAAATTGCCCAGAAGTGTGCTTTCTGAAAATACCGAGACATCATATTGTTTTTTTCTGTCTCTCTCATTGTTATCGCCGAGACAGACAATAAACAGACAACAAAAAACCATCGTATCGATCATGTAGCTCCTTCAATACTTATCTCATCAATATTATGTATCTCAAAAACTTGATATTGAATAACATCAAAAATTTATATTTCTCGCTCAAAAAGTTTTTATATTTGATAATCAAATTCATCGAATGCGTATAAAAATTTTATGTGTTTATGTAATCTTTACATCTTCTTACTTTTTTGGGTCTACATTTTGAACTATTAATTAATTTAATAATGCAGTTAATATTTTTCATTATACAAATATTTTTAAAATTAGACAAAAAATTTTACAAAAATTGTGAGAAATAAAAAAGACTTGCCGAACACCAGTGGTTGAAAAATATGGTTCTACAGCGTAATTTATGAACAGACTTTTGCGGGATAATTTATGGATCCCACGAGCGGGGGGCTGGTCCGCTGCTCCGCTTTACGTTAACCAATAAGTAGTAATGTCATATAGACAGATGGTCAGACTATTGTGGCTTGCGAAATGCAGTTACAAACCTCGAAGAGGAATCATTTGGGGAGATTAAGCGTAGTTAACGATCCACCAAGCTCGTCTGAAATAACAGGTGCACACATAGAATCTCTAATTAAACTTGGTTCAATAAATCACTTTATTAGTTAAATCCTGATATTTTGTCATTTAGATACGTCGCGTTACTACACATTTGTGAGAAAATTATTTACCGTTTAACAATCGGATCTTTAACAGCTGCAAATGTAAGCTAAGAATTTATCTAGTTATCTCAATAAATATAAATTCCAAATTGTCATCCCGGGAAATTAATTCTTCTTTGACAATTATTTTGTATGCTGATAAGTCTATATCAGTTTTCAAGTGAAATGCATAAATGAGGATGTTTAAAGAGCATATTAAGCTTTATGATTTTGAAAAGAAATTAATGCGACTCGAAATATATATAAGGTCAAAATAAAAGATAAAATGGGCAAAAGGAATCAGTTGTTCGTGCTTAACTTTGAGTTAAAATAAAATCTACAAATATTTCCTGTCTTCAGGTCTTCGTCAGTGGTCTTCAACAATAACAAGGCCTAATGCACGCAAATTTTTAAATTAATATATAACGCTACGAAATAGTTAACAAACGCTAATCAATAATACATTTACATAACAGGCTGCATGAAACCGATGATAAAATTTAGACGACTGGTCGCAGATGTTTCGCAATAATAAATGAAAACCGGTGTGTCCAAAAAGTCAGTAAATAAAATAGATGAATCAGAAATATAAAATTAGATATATCCACATTTAAAAAATAATTTGTTAAATTCAAAAAATCTTTATTTAGACTTACAACGAAGCCGGGCCAGCGTCGCCGAGCGTTAGGGGCGGCGCTATCCGATAAATATTGAGTTCTTCTCCCTTGATCATTAAAAGTTAAAAAATATATTAAAAAATTATT